GCAATCAACAAATAAATTTGGAAAACACTGTTACTTCTTATAACTTCACATGTCTTCAACATTTTGCAGTGGTAAAGGTAAAAGGTAAAGTTCAGATGCATGGCGTGTGATATGTCATTTGAAAGAAAATTTCATTCAAATTTCTGGAAAATTTTAGAAAACAAAGGAATTACAGTTATTTTTTAACTAAACTACCATTAAACTCTAATTCAAAAAGATATATTTAATTAAATAAAGTTTCTTGGGTAATAATCATGGAAATCGTATTTGTCATTCTATAATAAAATAACTTTGTTAAAAAAAAAATATTCGATTTGTCAAATTTGTTCATCATCTATTTGCCGAATTTTAAAACAAACTCTTATAAACCTTACAAAATACATTTACTGCAAGACTTAAGTGAAGATAATTATGATCGAAGGCTTGATTTTTGTGAAACAATAACGGCAAAAGTTGATTAACTTTATATTATTTAATATTTATTTTGCCGACGAATGTACTTTTATTGTTAATGGTTTAGTCAATTGTCACAATTTGAGGTAATGGAGTGATCAAAATCATCATTGGATGGGAGAAGAACGCATCCAGATACCTCAAAAAATAAATACTTGGCTAGTATTATTTGTACTACCATTATTGGTTCGTTTGTAATTGATGGTAACTTAAATGGCCAAAAGTACGAACAAATGTTACGCAATTAAAATATGCCTGCGTTACAAAACTTAGACATTAATTTCTACAGAATATGGTTCCAGCAGTACAACACCTTATTNCAAAAGTTGATTAACTTTATATTATTTAATATTTATTTTGCCGACGAATGTACTTTTATTGTTAATGGTTTAGTCAATTGTCACAATTTGAGGTAATGGAGTGATCAAAATCATCATTGGATGGGAGAAGAACGCATCCAGATACCTCAAAAAATAAATACTTGGCTAGTATTATTTGTACTACCATTATTGGTTCGTTTGTAATTGATGGTAACTTAAATGGCCAAAAGTACGAACAAATGTTACGCAATTAAAATATGCCTGCGTTACAAAACTTAGACATTAATTTCTACAGAATATGGTTCCAGCAGTACAACACCTCATTTTGCTATTGGAGTTCGGCAATTCCTGGATGGAATGTTTCCGAATAGATGGATTGGGAGAAGGGGTGCTGTTGAATGGCCTGCACGCTCTCCTGATATAACACCCCTAGAATACTTCTTTTGGGGACATTTAAAAATAATGTTTATAAAACAAAGCAATTAGATATAAACGGCTTGAAGAACAGAATGTTTGAAGAATCGGCACAAATTACTAGATAAATTTAATAAACGTTGTGACGTCGTTCTACTATAGGTTGGGATATTGCCAAATCGAGGGTGGGAAACAGATTGAACATTTATTAAAATATATTTTTTGTTCAAAGTATAGTCGCATAATTGTGTTATTTTTTCGTTTGTATTTTTTAATAAAGGTAAGAAAAATAGCTGTAACTTTTCTAAAATTTTTCAGAAAACTTACATTACTGTAAAAAGAATGAAACTATCTTTCAAATGATGTTTTACAAGCCATACGGTGCAATTAAAAAAAAATGGGGGAACTTTGTGGGGGTAGGGGGGTTACATGTAAACATTTGTTTACATGTCAAAAAATGACAAAAATAATGTATATTCTGAAATATATCTGAACTTTATCTGAAACTCACTATTGATCTAGATACAGGGTGCAGCATTAGTGCATCGTAGTACAATATTTCCTTTATTATACAAGATATCAAAAAAGTTAGTTACAAAAATTGTAGGCAACTTAAAACTACACATTTTAAAATTATTTTCGTATATACGTAGTGTTACGTATTACTAGGGTGAACCAAACACATTATTATTATTATTTATTATTTGTATATTATTTCAAATTTAGATTAAGCTCATCTCTCCCGTGCTTCCAACATAGGGTTTAATTATGTTATACAGGGTATTTCAAAAGTTATGGTCAATTGTATACGGGAATCATTTCCATTTCAGCGTCTTGTATATCCTAAACAGAACAAATTAACAATAATTTTTTGCAGGCATAACATTTTGATATTGGTACAGTTTTACGAGAAAGTGCTATTTCTTTATTATTGCAACAGTTGAATATAGGGCGTGCCCAAAGTCGAGCACATAATTTTCTCAATTTTTTTAAATGAATCACACTGTATTTTATTTTAAAAACTGAAAATACACTTTATGTTCTCTCATTTTTATGAAGCATTCCCTATAGCTAAAATCATTAATTTCTGAGATATTTACCATTTAATAACAAAAGTAGAGTTGTTAAAAATTTCATATTATAACAAGTTGGTTAATATTATAAGAATTTCGCCTTAACAACGAATATTTTGTAATGTCATTTGCCCACGGTCAACTTGTTACAATAGGAATTTTTTAAAAACTCTCTTGTTATTAATTGGTAAATATCTCAGAAATTAATGATTTCAGCTATAGGGAATGCTTTATAAAAATAAAAGAACATAAAGTGTATTTTCAGTTCTTAAAATAAAATACAGTGTGATTAATTTTAAAAATTGAGAAAATTATGTGCTCGACTTTGGGAACGCCCTATATTCAACTGTTGCAATAATAAAGAAATAGCACTTTCTCGTAAAACTGTACCAATATCAAAAAGTTATGCCTGCAAAAAATTGTTAAGTTGTTCTGTTTAAAGTATGCAGGACGCTGAAATGGGAATGATTCTCGTATACAATTGACCATAATTTTTGAAATACCCTGTATAACATAATTAAACCCTATATTAGAAGCATGGAAGAGATGAGCTTAATCTAAATTTGAAATAATATATAGGGTGTGTCCCATTTAAAAATTAGTATGTATGGTTCACCCTGGTGATACGTAACACCCTGTATATACGAAAATAATTTTAAAATGTGCAGTTTTAAGTTGGCTACAATTTTTTTAAATAACTTTTTTCTGATATCTTCTATAATAAAGGAGATATCGTACTTCGACGCGCTAATGCCGCACCCTGTATATTGTTGTTCTGGGACTTTTGGGACACAGTGTATAACTAAATTGAATCTAACTAATATAATATAATAAAACCACAGTTGTATACAACAAAGAACTGCACATGTGAAGGTCAGATCTATCTCAATAACTTCTGAAAAGTTTCTATAAAATATGTATTTGAAGTAAAAACACTTCATTGTGGTAAAATATGTTGTAGTAAATAACGAGCGTTCAAATAAAAACGTGGTCAAGTTGGTTCTGAAAATTTGGACGTAGGGCGTAGCGTATAGCAAATGAACTTAAACGTCATCTGTCAAAGCGCTATATCGCCGTTATCAATTTGAATATTTTCGTTTTAAAAAGCGTTTAAAATGGTGTTTTCTCAAGAACAAAAAGTGTTTATCATAGAGTCCTACTTTAGAAATGGACGCAAGATTGATGGAATATGGAAGTATTCTATTGAGGAATGTTTCATAGAATTTCAAAATCAATTTCCCGGCGTTGTTGAGTACAAAATTTTTCAAAGTGCAGTTCAGCGTTGTGTTAATGTTTTTCGTGAAACGGGCAGTGTAACAAGAAAAGAAGGAAGCGGCCGACCTAAAAAGCGGACTGAAGAATTAAAAGAAAATGTCCAACAAATAATGGAAAATGCGCCAAGAACTTCTGTACGTGTTTTATCACAAATGGTGGGAGTATCAGTCGGTACCTGCCACACAGTGTTAAAAAAAGATTTGCGTTTGTTCTCCTATCGTTTAACTTGTCAGCAAGAACTTCATGAAGTTGATTTTCCGCGACGGGCTGTATTTTGTGAATGGTTTTTAAACAACTACGGTGAACTTCATAATATCACCTTTTTTTCTGATGAAGCCTGGTTTCATTTAAGTGGTTACGTAAACTCACAGAATATGAGAATGTGGTCTTCTGAAAAACCAGATAACTTTTTTGTCGAGGGCCCTCTACACGCTCAAAAAATTGGAGTTTGGTGTGCTCTCAATCGAAGGAGGATTTATGGACCTATTTTTTTTAATGGTACTCTTACTGCGCAAAGGTATAGAGAAGAAATTATCGCTCCTTTTGTTAACCAGCTGGAAGAAAACGAAATTACAAACTTTTACTTTCAACAAGATGGCGCAAGGGCACATACGGCAGGCGAGACGATGAATATGTTGAGGGAAGTTTTCCAAAATCGACTAATAAGTCTCAATGCTGAACATGAATTTCCACCGAGGTCATGTGATATTACGCCGTGTGATTTCTTTTTGTGGCCTTACCTTAAAAACACTATTTTTGAACTGCCTATTCCTGATTTAAACCATCTGCAGGCTCGACTTATAGACAAGATTCGTGAAATTAACAATACCCCGAGCATCTTAGAAAATGTCTTTAATTCTTTGAGGAACAGGTGTGAAAAGTGCTTGGAACAAGGAGGGGGACACTTTCAGCAGCTGCTTTAATTTATTGTTATAACAAGGAGGGGGACACTTTCCGCAGCTCCTTTAATTGTTTGTTATTGTTATCACGATTATTCTTTAAAATAAAGTTATATAGTCATTAACGTTATTGAAACTGACAGCTGCTATACAGCTCGTTGAGAAATGAGGTTAAGTTGGTCACTATAAGCTACTCCCTACGTCCAATGTGTCAGAGCCAACTTAGACCACGTTTTTATTTGAACGCTCGTTATTTTCACAGTCTTGTGCAACCTTTACAGCGGTTATTGTAAATTATAATTGTAATTGTATTGCAAATTATAAAATTCAATAGTACAACATCATTAAATTTTACTGCAATGGAATTAATATATTTTTTTGGAATTATACGAAATTATGTAGTAACAATTTTTTGCCTGATATGGAAGACCACAATAATATAATTTTGTATAAGCCAGTTTTCGGCGTATCTAACTCTTAATTAACATTTTTATTATAATCCTTATATACTTCCAGCCCGAGTATTATGCATTTCAGCGGATTTATTCAGTTTCTTGTTTCAGGAAATCGCCGCCATCCTTATCAGCTTTGATCGGCACGCGGAATGGCAGAGCAAGGAGGTCAAGATCAGGTCTGTACACTCATAAAATATCGCTTAATTTCATATTCAAGACTTGCCCCAGTTCCCTAACCAAATTCAGTTGCTATTTCGGGCGCTAAGAACTTCCTATGCAAGTGCTCCGTTATTTATAACTTCATACGGGGTTATGCACTGTATTTTATTCCAACTACACACGTGATGTGGCTGGAAAAAAATTGTCGCCGCTTTGCCCAGTGCTTTAACGTGTGCTGGTGGCCTGCGGAATAATAGCAAGCCGTCCGTCTTCCGCACAACTATTCTACTTCCGAGCTGGCGCGTCCGATCAGAACGATGAGATGGTGAACAAAACGTTTGTGACTTTTGAAAATTAAATTATAGATGTATTAAACTATTAAGTGCATGCCTGCAGCCATCAAAGGGTCGTAAAGAGGGTCCTTAAGCAGGACCACTCGTACTAACTATCAATGTAGAATGTAATCCACAATTACAGTGCAATATTGTCTCCACATAAAAGTGATATTAAATTCCAAATAAAACATCTGAATACACGCCACAGTTGCAAGGAGCACTTTCCATGAACGGAATTACTTTTCTTGTTAGTTACATTTTGTATTTCGGAGAGCCGGTGGAAGGGCGGCGCTTTGTGTTCTCGTTTTATGTCCGCGTCGGCTTTAAAAATGGCAATAAACTCGTGTTTAATTGCCGGCGAAAGTGCGTTTTTATTAACCCCCGATGACGTTTTAAGGGGTTCAATAATAAATGATAACTGTAATTCTACATGACGTTCAGCGGTTATACGTGAAACGTACGAAACGGATTGCGCTGTTACGAGCCTGGTGTATTGTTTTCAGTATTTTTTTTTGGTTAGCTAAAATATTTTTTCTACGGTCGTGTCGAAAGTAACAGAAAAATTGTATACTTTTAATTTTAACTACAATCCTATTAAAAGTGACAGTTTTCACGTAATTTCCAATGAAAAAATTAACTTTTATAAGAGCCTGTGCAATAAGTTTTTATTGCACCATTTCAGTAAAAATGTCTCTCACTAAGATCAGTTCATTTTTAACAATGTATACCTACAATCTACATACATCTGCTTTGCGATTACATAAAATTTTCGATAAGAATTCTAAGCAATTCATAACTTCTCAATGTAGTAGACAGCAGAAATTGCTTCCTTAGGTAGCCCTTTGCATAAAATTTGTTTTGGATTGATTCTCCTAGGTAAGATTCTACCACCGTCGATGACAGCCAGCAAACCCCTTCAACCATGATTGTAGATGTCCCCTTTATCTATTCCTGTGTATTAGATAAGCCAAAGCATCTAGCAATTTCGTTTAATATTTTCCCATTATTTTTATATATTTTGTTAGCGACTTATTTTTTCCAAATTTCAACTACATTTTTCGAGTCTCTGGTTTCGCCGTCAACAATATATGTTCGAGATTTTGGTTCTTGACCATCTTCACTATCAACATAAGACGACACTAATTGTAACAAGATTTCGCAGCGTTGCCAACTTAATGTATCTAGTTATTTACCAAAGTCATTTTAATATCAAAGTGGTGTCGCGGGAAAATTTAGAATACTTTGTAGGTAGTTCTTATTAAATAAAATAATACTAAAGTAATAAAATGAATGCATAACGACACCCAATAATAATAGATTAAGCGCAAAATTTTGTGTTACTTTTTTGTTTTTTTTTTAATGTAAATGTAACGTAAAATTAATTGTATATCACGATCTGGTATTTTCCACAAATACTCATTTTAAAATCACAAAAAGTCCTTTGCTAAACTACTAACTTTTACCAAGTTATAATAGTATTATATTGTTTAGTTTATTTTGCTAAATAGATTTATTAAAAGTAAGTGAATTGGTGCAATAAGTATTAAAGACTAAAAACATAGTGATTTTAAAAAGGACCGTATGACTTAGTATTAGAAAGCTAAGGAACAAAAACCTTGTATTTTTCTTTTTCTCCTAAAAAATGTTAGGGTTCTTATCATTTTCATAAGGTTATACTTTATTTTATAATACCCATATAATTATTTATCAATTAAAATGTAATTTTTAATGTAATATTAAATNCAACCGTGGCGGGTTTTTGGTTTGAATTGGAAAGGTAGGTGAATATGATTGTTTCGCCTCCTTTTCAATTCAGCGGTCTCCGGCATATCCGTAGGTACAAGATTATGACTTCTATGAATATACGGGGTGTTCTGAAATCCTGAAGCTCGCTCGAAGGGTGGAATACGAGAATATTTACTAATGAATTTGGTAAAAATTATACATTAAAATATAAATCAATATACTCAATACGTAGTGTAGATGCGAAAATTAAAATATATATAAACAATATTTATGATTGTCTTACATTCGAAATATATAGTAAAATGTGGAAACAAAAAAAATCTTTTTATGATAAAAAATATATGATATGTAAGTCGGAGGCGCTTTAATTATAATCAATGTAGCTATAAAGAGACAACAAAACATAAATAAAAATGTGAACGAATGGCACTTTCCTTAAGTTTTCTATAATCCATAAACTATTAAAAAATAAACAAACAAACCGTATTTAAAGTGAGGTTATTTTACCTCTACCAGAAACTCGTGAAACTCAATTGATACCAACTAGATTTAAACAATAAAATTTGGTAAGCAACTAAATTCTAGTTCGATATATATTGGCAATATTGCGAAATCTTGTTACAATTAGTGTCGCCTATCAACATATTATCAATATTTTCCGCATTACCAAACCAACATCATATTATGTATAACCGTTAACACAGAAAATTGTTTAAGATGAATAGAAACATGATTGAATTTTCAAATCTCGTATCCATAGTACACATTATGACAGCCTACATTGATATACTATATACTAATATAGTATAATATATAATATTATAATAATACCAGTCGTCAAAGCGACATTTACAAAAAAAAACAACATAGTTCTACAAATATTTTTTTTTCAAAAACTGTCATCAAAAGTCGACATTTTTGTTAAATTTTCAGTTGACAAAGTGAGTCTGTTTTTGTCACCTAGCTGCAAAATACTTTTTTGTTCTAGAACTTCAAAGTTTTTCGTTGTAGAACATAAGACAAATGTCAAAAAAATTTATTTATGATTTTATTAATTAAACAATGTACATTTTAAGTATTTTAACATTTCAATACAAAACAGTAACTATTATAAAAAGGAGCATTCCAATTTATTTTGCACTACATGTAAATTGAAATTTATACCAGATTCAGTGCTGTCAGTTATCATATATTTTAGTTTTGGGTATTCAATGAGGCTGCTGCAATTGTTTAAGTTTACTGCGCACAGTGGTAAATTCCATAGGCTCTACTGAAGATGGTAACAATTTATTTGCGATTGAAATTTTATTCTGTCTTCTGTATACAGTGTGTTCCGTTTTTCAGGTTAACACCTCTGGAAATGTGAGAAAGCTGTGGACTTTCCGCAAGCTAATTTTTTTACAAATCGTATCCTCAAGGGAGATTATATTCTACTAATTATTTTATTATGTAACATAAGCCTAGCCTCCTACGATTTTTTAAAAGGGTCGTTTTTTTCAGAAAGTGGTATTAGGCATTTTTTATCAAAAAGATAATATTACCAGGTTATTCAACACCCATCAAAATACCCACATACCAAATTTGAACGACAAATGTCTATTGAGTATTTTTTATGTGGTGTCAAACTTTGAAAAATCATACAGCTAAAAATTATAATGCGCAGATCAACGATTGCCATGAAAGTGAAAACAAGTACCAATCGGACAGAAAAAAATACAGACACTATAAATTTAATACTGTTAATTAAGATTATAGTAAAAATAATAATTAACGTACAAAAATTGTAGGTAATGGATTGTAAATATTAAGTTGTTAAACAAAAAATTGCAAAACAATAATCTAAATTAAATTTTGGTTTTCTCGAACTGTGAACTTTTACTTTTGGGGTTTTATAAAACAAAAAGTTTATAGGAACAGATCAAGGAATTTGGATGACCTAATGAATTGCATAAGACAAGCTTGTGCAGAGATTACTCCACAACGACTATGTATATTATTTTAAATTTAAGAAGAGCATTGGAAAAATGTGTTCTACTGGAAGGAAGTTTGGTGGAGAAAACTAAAACTTAATTTAGATTAGGTAACGTAATTTTTTTGTTTAAGAACTTTCATGGCAATCTTTGATCTGTTTATTATAATTTTTAGTTGTCAGATTTTTCGAAGTTTGGCACCACATAAAAAACACTCAGTAGACATTTGTCAATCAAATTTGGTATATGGGTATTTTGATGGGTGTTGAATAGCCTGGTAATGTTAATACTACTTTCTGGAAAACGACCCTTTTAAAAAAATCGTACTAGGCCAGGCGTTTGTGACATCAATAAAATGATTAGTAGAAAGTTTTGGCACATTCCTTATTTTCTTCAAGCTATCCATTTGGTTAACCCATTTTTACCTGACATATTTCACAAAAAATCTTCGACTTGTAGCAACTGCCAGACATAAAGCAAAGTATTTGCGTAATATCTTTATTTGTTCTGGACTTAAAATCACAAAACATCTCGGAGTATGAATTTTTGAATCAGGAATTCTCATAATAATAATTGAATCTTTGAGTTCTATATCATCGACCGTTATCTTTAGTAGCTCATCTCTTCTCAAAGCTCCAGAAACACCAATTATTAAAATGACCTGAAAAGTTGTCCAAAATTAGTTAAATCGATTTATATTAATTTGAATTACCTTTTCTAGTAGAAATATATTATCGGGTGCTGTAAAAATCTCTCAATTTCCTCTTTCATTAGAATTCTGGACTTTTTCGGACGGTATCCAACTGATTTGCTTTTCAAATATGGTATTAGTTTCGGAAATTTTCTGACATTTATATTTTTTTTGACATTCAGTGTACTATTTAACATAGAAAATACTGACCATAACGTCGAGGGTTTAATTTTCTTCGAAATTACTAAACTCTTTCTAAACTAAATTCTTTATATTATAATTTTAACATTTTTCTTGAATATATTCTTTGAAACCGTGTGCCATAAGCATTTTTACACTAGACACAATCCTTCCTATATCGGTATGACTTTTCCATTAATTAGTTTTTCTCCATAAAACATAATTCTGGTCGTTTCGAGAGAAAGAGCAAAGATAACAGGAAAAGGGGACAAACTAGAGATGGTTTAGATAATAACGACAAGCCGACAAATCGATTGTCCCTAAAATAGATTAAAATATTTCCAATTCCCAACTAACACCAGCACCGTCCGATTCGATAGGGAGCCTGATCACGTGCGGACCCAATCTAACGAAGTTTGCTGTTTGAGTTTTGTGGTTGTGGTTTGTTGACCCTGTTCTTTGCATACGAATCCGATTTGTCAAAGTCCTAGTTTATATGGATCCTTGGATGATTTGTAGTATCTTGATACGAGGCTTTAAGCGCTCAGTTTTATATGGAAATGTGGATTAGAAATTTAAATCCCCAGTAGGTATATTTGGTATACTGTCGTTTTATTCTCGTGGTGTTTTCCAAAGTGTTTCTAACAGATTATATGGTCGAGTCCGTCGCGAGTATAGCTTCTATTGAATTAGGTGACTTCGCAATTTCCTAAAAATCATCCTGACCTCCACTGCGATTAGCAAAACGGTGGAATAAGTGGCCGATAGATCCCGGTTGTCGGGACCTTAGTGCCAGAATGCATAAACTGTAGTTTTGCGGACGTCTACAAGAAACTTTGGACGCGGATTTAGGTTTAACGCTTTCCGATTTTAATTGCAATCAAGTTGTAATTACAATTTAAATGCAATCCGGGTTTGTTCTTTATGGATCGCAGGGATTAATTTAAACTACCTCAATTATAATCGGTTTATTAGTCAAGCATACTGTGTACGTTTTAAGTACCAAATTTTAATCTATCTGTATCGTATCTCCGAGCAGCTTGCCGGGATCGTATTGCAAATTATTCTATACTGATAACTGAACGAGCACAGCATTACATGCCCTGTAAACACGCATATATTAGAAAGACGTTTATAATGTCCAAGCACCATTTAATCAACGTGTCGTTTTTACGAAACGATCAAATATTGCTGAACATATACATTTCAAAATAAATATAAAAAATTTGCTATACAGGGTGTAACGTTTATTAGATGTATCATTTATACAAAGGCTACCTTTGACCTTTAAAAACGTGTATAGTAGTTTATTTTTTCATAAAATTTATTACAACCCACCGCTGGACAAACTAATATGACCTCAACGGCACGCGTTATTCTCGGCGCATGCGCAATTGGTAACTGGGTTATGCATTGTTGTCAAATTTCATAATTTAAAGAAAAGGTTATTAAAAGGCAAATTTTTACGCCACCCGCCGTAAGGCACTTCTCTTTTGCGCGTTACTTTTGTTGAGATTTTATTCTTTTAAATAAGATAAACTATATAAACTTAACATGTAATATAACAGGAAACTCAAGCAGTAAATAATTATTTTAGAACATAAATTAGTTTTATTTATAAATTAGTAACATATCTACATACTAATATTGGTTAATTCGTCCACATTGACAGCAAAAAAATGTGATGACATTAAATTATTTTTCATTAGTTTCGCTGTGTAACAGTTGAAATGAAAATATATACAGGGTGGTCCAGATTTGAAAAGACACACTTCGGGAAAATATTAAACAATAAAAATTAACATCACTTTGCTCTATGAACATAGGCGCAGGAAGCCACCGTTTATGACATACAAGGCCTTGGAATTAACATAAATAAAACAATTTTTTTAAATATCTGGAAAACCGCTTCATCAAATTTATCCAAATTTGGTACATATTTTTTTTCAAGTTCTGTATGCACACAATCCAAATTCAAAAACCAGTGGTGGAGAAAGAAGGATATCGTTTCCTTATTTAAAGTAAAACTTCTACGCCACTGAATTAATTGATAATATGAATACATTTTATAACGGTCTGAAATATTCCGGATGAGAAAACCTACCATCCTAAAAATACCAAGTAAACAAAGCGTTGAAATAGGGAAAAATAAAACGAATTTGGGTGGTCCAGATTTTAATGGACAAACTTCGGGACAATACTAAATAACAAAAATTAACATCATTTTACTTTATGAGATATAGAGCGTTGAAATTAATAAAAATGAAACAATATGCTTAACTAATTATAGACGATGCGGTAAATTTATTTATTTCATTATTATGATGCCAGAATGATCTACTAATGAACAATGGACACAATTTATTTGGAGTAGATTATCTATGATGAAGCCAAATTAGAGCAGGTGCATGAAAGTAACCTAATAGAAAATTATAGTTAATACATACCATACAATTTTAGATTGTATTAGGGAGTATATAAGTAGTGTAGAAATTTTACTTTAAATTAGGAAACGATATAGTAGTTTATCCGCCTCTGGTTTTTGAATTTGGACTGTCTACCAAATTTGGATAAATTTGTTCATAGAGCAAAGTGATGTTAATTTTTGTTGTTTAGTACTTTCCCGAAGTTTGTCTATTAAAATCTGGACCACCCTGTATTTACAATTAATAATATTAGAAGTATTAGTCAATATTTAATAAATCAAGTAAAAATTTTATTTTTTTTTTAATGTTGGGCGCTTCAACCACTGTCATCAAAAAAGTATGGTGACTAAAAATACACGTCACTACGTTATACAAAAGCAATCTGTTTTACCAAATTATTTTTCTATGTCGCTTTTCACAATGTAGACTGAGTTAAAAACAATTGGCAACGTTGATAGTGCACTAATACGCAAATTTCGGGTGCGTAAACGAAAACTAAAGGGGAGTTTAAAAAACTAATTATAACTCGACTATTTACTTGATTAAAAAAAATAGAATTACAGATTCGTATCCAGGACAACACGTTCTAAAAAACTGATCCCCACTTAAAGATACAACCTGTATAATTCAAAAACACTGAAGTTAATACCTTGTAATTGTTACTCTTCATTAATTATTGTGGTAAGTTCAGCGCGTTTCTATTTCGGTAAATAATATTAAGCAAGTAAAGTATAAAATCTAGCCGCGTAGTAACGTTTGCAAAACTGAAAGCATGAAGTCCGCGATGAAATTATTTCACGGTCCACTGAGCATTCCGCATATTTTCACAAGTTTCTTGCGTATTTGTGTAGCAAAATTGGAAACAAAATGAAATATACACACTTCGAATGGAAACGTTTGTTTTCCCAAACAACAAATGTCCGCATGAATATATTTACGTCGCTTGGATATCGTGCACATGTGGGTAATTTTTTAATGGACACAACTCGAAAGGTTCTGTTGTTGTTTACATTGACTTTTTTTACTTTTAAGTACATGAATTATAAGTCGAAACTACTACGTTGAAACCGATTACATCGAAGCCGTTTGGATTTAATCAGATTTAAAGGTTCCATTTGAAGTGGATGGCACCCCTTGAAAATATAAAGTTTTGGGGACATATACCGCCAGAAATTACCATTTTATTATAAAAAAGGGCTTTAGGAATTAGCAAAAGCTTTTGTTGGTTCGTTACTATCTTGTAACAAAAGATAACTTCGTTACTTTTCGTTACTAATTTCGAAAATTCACTCAAATTTACAATTTCATTCAAGAACCCTTCCAAAAGCTATTCCCGCCAAAAGCATAAAACAAGGGAACCCATATGATCCAAATTTTCACCACAATTTCGAAAATTTCCCATAAATCTCACACGAAGCCTCGATTGCCGCCAAGCACTATTAGCTGTAGCAGACGATGCCAGCGGGTCGCAAATCACTAAAATTAATTACCATCCCAGAATAGACAGTTTTCGCAGAGATAAAATATCTAAAGTTAAGGCGGAGACCACTGCAGGATCTTTGCGGTTCCACTATGACATGTGTTCGAATGTCAGCCCTGTTACCTTGCTTCTTATTAATCTGATTCGGATACTTGGCCTGTACACTAGTACGCTCCAAATGTTCGATTTTGCATTGTATAATATAAGGCTCACCATGAATCAATATTCATTTATTGTAATTATCGAATATTTCAATAAATCCCACAAATTTTCAACAATCAAACTATGTTAAAAAAAATCACAACATTAAATTACTATTGTCTAAATACGAGCTGCAAGAGCGATGTACTCTAAGATCTTGCAGTACATTTTCTCTTCGTAGTTTCAAGTATTTGGGATATCGTTTTCACAAAACATTGACATTTGCTCTTTAATGGAGTTGTTGGACATTTCTAAAGTATGCTGAATTCTTCAATAATTATTATAATATTTTAAGATCTCTTATTTTTGTTTTAGGCCCAAGAGTGGTTCCATGTTGTTGTACAGCAGAAAGAAGGTACGTTATCGCAGAGACGGGTACTGTTGGAAGAAGAGGAAAGATGGCAAGACCACCAGAGAGGACCACATGAAACTGAAGGTGCAAGGAACAGAGGTAAAATTATCATTAGTACACTTATTATTCACAATTAGAGCTCGACTTTCGTTGGGAAGATGAGGCGAAGAAACGAGTCGTTTCGTCGCTATAATATTAAACCGTATTTCATGCATTGGTTCGAGTCGCTACATCTGAAGAAATTTAAAAATATTTCATCGTTCTGGCTATGCTTAAAATAAAAATTTTTAATATTATCGTAATTTACGATATGATGGAGCTGTAATAAAATGTGTTCGTGAAACATATTAAAAGTTAAATACATGAATGAAATCAGTTGCTACAGCTGCCGTATTGGCTATTTTTATCTGACTTCATTTTTGTATTTATGTGTGTGATTGATAATGAACTAATTTCGATTGTTTTGAGAAATATATATTTCTAAGTACTCATTACTTGAAAACCAAGAAAAATCTGAGCGTATTATATGGTTAACTTAAAAAAACTATGGATAATTGTACAAGAGGCTATACCTATACATATTAAAAAAATGTAAATTAAGGCATGTTTTAGGGCGCCTGTTTGTAATATATGTATTGCACTTTCCACTTCAGTCAAACGTACGCGTTTGGGGAAGGCCAGAACTGAATCAATTTAAGTAAAAACTTTTGAAGGTAAATACATATACAGGGTGTTTCAGAAAGACCTCCCGTAAATTCAGGGGGTGATAGTACGACAAAAAATAAGAATTTTTTGTCTTATGTCTATCTCCTCTTGTTTTTGAGATACAGAGCGACAAAATAAAATTTTTTAAATAGAATTTTTACGAAAATTTCCAAACGGTGGGAAATATTTTTATGAAATTTGGTATTCTGGGGTTTTTAAGGACGCCAAATACGCTGGTCTAATTATTTTTGTATATTTTATAGAGGGCGCTAGTTATGCTACGTTCGTATTACATTTTACGTTCTAATTTTTTTGAGGCTAGGTTAGTAGGCATTCGGGCTCCAATTTCTAATGTACACTTTTATTTTCTAAAAATAATGTACTCTTGTTAGAACTTCCTAATGTGGACGATTTTCGAGAAAAAAAAGGTTTTTAATTGAACTCTTACAATATTACGGTGTAGAAAATAACATTTTTCAAAATAGGCTTGTCAAAACTTATTGATGAATGTCTCATAAACAACGCATACATTGTCAGTAATATTTTAAGTTCTAATTAACTTTATATCAAAATTTTAGTGACTGTAATTAGTCATTACTAACTACAGTCACTGTAATCGCTACAATTTTGGCATAAAGTTAATTAGAGTTTAAAATGTTACTAAGAGTGTTTGGTTTTTTTTTGGGCCTTCCTTCATTAGTTTTTGGGTTAGGCTTCTTTTGGGAAATGTCTTTTTTTTTTTTTTTCGTGTTATTTTGTGAGTTTTCTTTTAAGCGTTTTTTTTCTCGAATCGTGTCCATTTTGGGGTTTTGTGACGAGTGTATTATTTTTTTTTTAGAATATAATTTTGTATTTTTGATTTTGGCGCGCGTGTTGTAAAACCCTAACCTTAAAAAAATTAGAACCTAAAATGTAATAGGAATGTAGCGTAACTAGTGCCCTCTATGAAATATCCAAAAAATAATTACATCAGCGGATTTGGCGTCCTTAAAAACCCCAGAATACCAAATTTCATAAAAATATTTCACACCGTCTGGAAATTTTCGTAAAAATTCTATTTAAATTTGTCGCTCTGTATCTCGAAAACAAGAGGAGATAGAGATATCGTTCATAAGACAAAAAATTCTTATTTTTTGTCGTACTATCACCCCCTGAATTTACGGGAGGTCTTTCTGAAACACCCTGTATAATGCATTATTTTATGCAGAAATATATTCTCCTAATTGATCTTTTCAAAAAATTTCGTGGCAGTGTTAAACAACAATTGCAAATTGTATACATACAGTTACTGTATCCATCTCTTTCATTTTATGAGTTAAGCAGTAGACTTGCTCGCTATTCCCATTGTTTCAATCTGGTGTCGTAATTTTAATGTACTCGACGTCTTATGTAAATAATAATTGAACTTGTGTAAATGCCTGCTAGTATGAGTTGAAGAATAGTCTTACATTGTTTCATTCAGGTGTTGTAATACTTATCATTTTGTCAATTGTATACAGGATCTCTAAAAATTATGAGCTATATCTCAAGGTGAAAATAAATTGATTTAGAATTTAGATCAAATTACCTTAGTACAATTTTTCTTCCTTAAAAAGTTAATAATAAATTAATCTTTTTTAACATAACTGCGTCACTTTTAAAAATATTTGAATGCATTTTAATGCTACGAAGTTCCTAGGCTAGCGGAATATGAATATGAGCTAATTTTTTACCCAAAATATGGTGGACACTAAAAATACCTTATACCTATTTCACTTTTTTGTTCCTAGATATTTTAAGAAGCCACATTTTATTTATTGTAGAGCAAAGTATTCTTTTCATGTCGCAATATGCACCATGCCGAAATTTCAATTGTTTACTACAATCTTCAGTTACAGACAGCTGGCTATTTGGGAGTATTCTAATACAATTAAATTTGATTCTTTTAATAATTTTACAGCTAAATTTAAATATTTTTTACGATTTAGACCTACCTACCACCTTTAAAAAATATGTTTTTACAAAATTACTTCTTTCTTTAATCTTATTTGTTACCTACTTCAATTTTAATACGCATAAATGCTTGACTTGAGTTTTTTGAGTTTAGAACTTGACAGTATTTAGCAGACCTGATTAGGTCAAATGCACCACGGATTCGGATTCAGCGGCCCCAAAAATGTATAGATATATTGATTCTCTACATTTGACCTTGAACTAACCTTAACCCAGAGCTAATCGGGTCTAACGGACACCGGAGTCCAATTCAGCGACCACCAAGAACATGGTCTTGTCTTTCGGACCTCCCATTTGTTTTTTGTAACAAAATACACATTTCAATCATCTAAGCTATGAATAATGAATATTTCTTGTCATACATTTCTTTAGATTTTGGCGTAAGTATTCCCAAAAATGCAACTTCGGCTTCTAGTCAAATGTTCTGTGACGTTGTTTACCACACTTGAGAGTGAAATGCCACTGTAAGCACGTGAGAATTTGCCACACACGCGCAGGCATTCTTATGTTAACCAACTCACTTAACTATAATCGCTGATTTCACTCACTTGTAATATAATGTACTATTAACCCTCTAAGGTCACACTAGTGCGAATTCGCACCGCAGTTTTTTTTAACAGCTCTTATGCCTCAAGTAGCAGCTGCCAAGGGTTCCCCCACCACGATAATTCCTTCTATAGCCCAAACAGTCGAGCCGTACCACAATTGGCCTCAGTCTGTTATTGTCAGCTAAACTAAAGAGCCTGAATAGTCCGATCGCGATACGAATTCGCACTAGTATGACTTTAGTGTGGGTAAAAGTGTGGCTAAATTTATATCATATAACCTAGAAATAAATTGAATTGAAATGCAAAGTAATTTTTCGAAAACTGTTCCTTTATTCAATCGCATTTTTTATTAACAGATTAATTTTTTTCAAACCTAATTAGATCATTCGATTTCTCGGAAAATTTTACCCCAGTTTTGATATAAATACGCTGTTTTCGTTAACAAATAAAGAAGACATAAAGGTTCAAAGTTGGCAAAATCCCAATTCGCACTAGTGTGACCTTTAAGGTGTGATTTTTGAAGGGTTGATGTTATATGGGGCAATATTTAATACAATTATTGTAGTAGTAATAGACTTATAGTACTACAGGTAGTGTTATTTATTAATTCTGCTACTTTTCTCTTCCTCAAAAGCTACATCCGCTCCGCAATTTTAAATTAAAGTAAGATTTTCTAGAGTCTTGTCTATCTAAATCAATTCAGTCAAAGCCATCTCGTCTAGTGACCCGGCAACACAAATCTGTTTCTTGCCACCATCCCAACCCGCAGCTCTTCTGTAGAACGTAAACTTTTTACGGGAACAAATAAATTGCCCTCTCGCCCTCCTCGCAGAAGCGGTCCTTTAAACCGGAGCGACCCCATCCGCCTCGTCGGAGCTTTAAAGAGCGTCAGATTCGTCATTAATTAGACCGGCGATAATGTTGGACAAAGGCGCGCCCTCGAATTGAAAGCTTTAGAGCGACGTAACGATCCGGTTTTCCGAATTAAACAGAATTAAAGGGTGAGCGCATTTTATCTTGTTCGATCGGCGCGCAAAAAGTTAACACCTCTTAAGGATATATCTAGCGTTTAAAAAGTTCTCGCCGAGCGCGCGGTTCCATGGGATTAATACGGTGGATTCCTAGGTGAGCTCGGAAGCGCAATTTAGGTTATGTACGTCTTGGTAAACAGATCCAAAGTGTTTTTATTTCCGGAGCTTTTTGTGTCGCTCACTGGGAGAGAATAGCGAGTACCGTAAAAAAAAAACCAGAAGGTAGTTCTTTTTGGAATCTTCGTCGACTTGATTTTTTATTTTGACATTTGTCACGTGTTTATATGCAGTTTCGCGGGAAAATTTAAAGGGAGATTTGAGTTCGTAAAAGTATGAATTTTTCTGTTGAAATGTGTAAAGATTGTTACTTACAGAGAGTTAATTAATTTTTTATTTCCTTTCATATTCTAGAGTAACAGGTAGTACGCAGATGTACTCACTAGTAGGTTATGAAAACAATTTGAAACAGTAATAAGTCAACAAATAACTTAAAATGCTACAAACTTATGCAACCTGAGGGATCATTTCTTTATTTATCTATATATATCGTTATGACCAGTATCATAACGAGTCTGGATTTCAAAAGAATTTACTATTCTCGAAAGGGAGTTTATCATTATCATCATACTTTAATTAATACGTGGGAACTTAGAAATGTTGTACGTTCAGAGAATGAATACCAGACACTTACCGTATGTCGCTCATGTACAAGGTAATCCAGTGGTTGGTTGTATAGGGTGACACTTAAGTTGGAAGAACAAGAAAGAAGCACCAAAACTTCCAGGAAAGGTTTTAATAACAATAAAAACAAAACAAAATAACG